ATACATGGAAGGCAAGCACTCTACCTAAGCCACTTTCCTAACCCCAATATTTACCATTTTTGAAAATTCATGTAAAAGTAATAATAAACCTTATGCCTACTAATACAAATGAATTTTTTTGGGTCCAGTCGTGGGGCCTGAACTCTGAGCCTGGGCGCTGTCCCTCAGCTCTTCAGCTCAAGGCTAGCAATCTACCACTTGAGCCACAGCACCACTTCCGGCTTTTTTCTTTTTGCTTATGTGGTGCTGAGGAATCGAACCCAGGGCCTCAGGCATGCAAGGCAAGCGCTCTACCACTGAGCCACCTTCCCAGCCCCCCAGCCTCATCTTAATAGAAAAGCTGAGTGAGGTGTCACATGTGTGTCATCCTAGATATAGACATGGTGAGAAGTCTGAAATAGGAAGATCATATTACAGACTCTCCAGGGCAAAAAAACCCTGTCTTAAAAACAAAAAGAACAACAACAACAAAAGAACAAAACAGGCTCAATCAGATCACTTTATCCAGTAAATGTAAAACCATTTTGAGATCAAGCTGCCAAAAAAAAAAAAAAAATGAGAAAATACTATAATATCCAAAGCAAAAACTATTTAGTAAGACTAACATTAAAAAAATGACTTTTGAAAACTTCTTTAATGTATGACTTACAGAAGAAAACTGGATTCTCATATGTGCATCTGCATTTGATCAGACAAAATGTTTTGAATATAGTCAGAAAACAAAAGAAATAATATGCAGGTAATTCTGTATATTCTTTACTGATATTATACTGAAATGACAAGTAATCATTTCAAAGGCCAATTCAATATAGAATCTAAAAGGAGTTTTTCATGATTATACACTAAAATCCACTAGTCCACTTTGCACTTTGAGTGGTCTTTTTCCCAAGCATGACTTGCTATAATGCAGAGATCATTTGGAAAATACTATTTCACTAGCTCATACAGATCTTCCCAATGTTGACACATTTCATCATACAACATCAAAAAATCATGCCAGAAATGTCAATAAGAATTAGGAAATGTCAAGCACATGATGGCAGATACAATTTTCTAGAAGTCTAATTTTTGCTTAAAAGCTCTAGTTCTTCACTGGCAATATCAACTACTAGTTTTCCTAGCAGTGACAAGCTCAGTTAATTCAATTTTGAAAAAATATTGACAAATACACATCTGAATAACCAATCTTTGAGTCATACTTTCAAATACAATTAGTTCAAACAAACCAGACAGTTGAGATGGCAACTCAAAATCCTACAAAGCTTTCTTAAGAAACCATCACCATACTTTCAATGTACAGCAAAGTGTTTTCCATTTCATCATACAGAATATTAAAAAAAAATCCAAAGGGTCATTGTCATTGTTCCTTTATCCAAAACATGCTTCAGTGGAGTTCCAGATCTGCAATGGAACCCCATACTAAAGATTAAGTCCACAGCCTTATGCCTAGTAAGCACTCTATTACTTGAGTTATGTCACAACCAGGGGTTAGCTTCAACCTCAAGATACTCCTGCCACTACCTACCTGATGACAATCACATTTTGTAAACTGACAGCATGTGGTGGTAGAAAGCCAAGTGACTATTAACTGGTTCTGGTGTGCTAAGAATTTAGCCTACCACAGATGGCAAAAAAAAAAAAAGGCAAATAAGGAATATTTCTTTTTTTCTTTTTTCTTTTTCTTTTGTCTTTGTCGGTCATGGGGCCTGAACTCTGGGCCTGGGAACTGTCCCTCAGCTCTTCAGCTCAAGGCTTGCGCTCTACCACTTGGGCCACAGCACCACTTCCAGCTTTTTCTGCTCATGTGGTGCTGAGGAATCAAAGTGCATGCTAGGCAAGCACTCTACCACTGAGCCACCTTCCCAGCCCAGGAATTAATATTTCTACAAAACAAGTTCTCAGGCTGGGAAGGTGGCTCATGCATGCATGAGACCCTGGGTTCCATTCCTCAGCATCAAATAAGCAGAAAAAGCTGGAAGCAACGCTGTGGGGTTCAAGTGGTAGAGCGCTAGCCTTGAGCTGAAGAGCTGAGGGACAGTGCGCAGGCCCAGATGCACAACAAGCAAAAAAAAAAGTTCTGTAAATGTATTCTATATCCTCAAAGGACTGAAGACAACACCTGTGGTAGAACCTGTGTCAGAAGATTCAATTGATTATTCTCCTTAATCATATGAGTGCATATATGTACACCACACACACAAACAAGAATAGCTATACTGACAGACGGAAGATGTACCTCAATAGTAAAGCAAATACTTAGTTCACATGCACAGACCTTTAGTTCCTAGCACTAAAATCAAATCAAACAAAAAAATCTAGTAATCAATCTTAAAACAGAAGTCACTAAGCCGGCGCCAGTGGCTCACGCCTATAATCCTAGCTACTGAGGAGGCTGAGATCTGAGGACCTTGGTTCAAAACCAGCCCGGGCATGAAAATCCGTGAGACTCTTGTCTCCAAAAAACCCACTAGAAAACCAGAAGTGGGGCTGTGGCTCAAGTGGTAGAGCACTCGCCTTGAGCTCAAGAGCTGAGGGACAGCACCCAAGCCCAGAGTTCAAGCATGACTGACAAAAAAAAAAAAAACAGAAGCCACTGGAAAATGGCATTTAAGGCTGTGATCTGAGGATCACAGGTCAAATCTAGCCCTGGCAGGAAGATTCTTATCTCTAAGAAAACCAAATGTGAAGTCATGGCTCAAAGTGGCAGAGTGCTAGCCTTCAGTGAAAAGCTTAGGGACAGTGCCCAAGCCCTGAGTTCAAGCCCCATGATAGACCAAAAAAAAAAAAAAAGATGGCCAGGTTCTGGTGACTCATGCCTGTAATCCTAGCTACTCAGGAGGCTGAGTAGCCAAAGCCAGCCAGGACAGGAAAGCCCATGAGACTCTTATCTCCAATTAACCACCAGAAAAAAAAAAGAAGTGACCCTGTGGTTCAAGTGGTAGAGTGCTTGCCTTAAGCTGAAGAGCTGAGGGACAGCGCCCAGGCCCAGAATTCAAGCCCCACGACCGACCAAAAAAAAAAAAAAAAGCATGACATGAAAGTAAAACATGTTGTGTTGGGTAGAAAATAGAACAGGAGTAGAGGGGCAATGGAGAAGTAATTTAATTGTATGTTTGAAAACAAAACAATGAAACCTGGGTTTTATTAGGTAACCACTCTACTGCTGAGCTACATTCTAGCCAAAAAAAAAAAATGTTTAATATATAAAAATATTTTTAGGTGGGGCTGGGAAGGTGGCTCAGTGGTAGAGCGCTTGCCTTGCATGCCTGAGGCCCTGGGGCTCGATTCCACAGCACCACATAAGCAAAAAGAAAAAGGCGGGAAGTGGTGCTGTGGCTCAAATGGTAGAGCACTAGCCTTGAGCTGAAGAGCTGAGGGACAGCGCCCAGGCCCAGAGTTCAGGCCCCACGACCAGACCAAAAAAAAATATATATATATATATATATACATATATATGAAGGTGGCTCAGTGGTAGAGTGCTTGCCCCGCATGCAGGAAGCCCTTGGTTCGATTCCTCAGCACCACATAAACAGAAAAGGCCATAAGTGGCACTGTGGTTCAAGTGGTAACGTGCTATCCTTGAGCTGAAGAGCTGAGGGACAGTGCACAGGACCAGAGTTCAAGCCCCATGACTGGCAAAAAAAAAAAAAAATATATATATATATATATAAAATATATATATATTTTAGTACCTTTTTTTGGGGGGGGGAGGGGAGCCAGTACTAGGATTTAAATTGAGCCTTATGCTTGCTCAGCTTTGCTTATTGCACTACAGTTGTTACCATTTCAGCCATGCCTCCAATCTGGCTTTTTGCAGGTTATTTTGGAAGTAGAGTCTTAGGGGCCTTTCTGCCTGGCCTCAAACCACCATCATCTGGATCTCAAGCTCCCAAACAGGTAGAGTTACAGGTATGAGTCACTTGCATGATTTTTTTTTTAAAGGAGTATTGTTCACTGAAAGTGGCACTCAAATGTAAGGTGAGCAAAGGAAGTAAAGGTACAAAAGAACCAGAACTAGCTGAATTTTTGACAAGATTCCTTAGGCCAATAAGATGGCCTTAAATGCCATAAGCCTGAGAGTTAGCATCTAAGTAACAAACAGATGCTGGCATTTTAAAAGTCAAAGATCTAAAAATTCACCATTAAGATTACAAAGTCAATAAATAGCTTGTTACACATACTTTTGTTGTTGTTGGTGGTGGTGGTCATGGGGCTTGAACTCTAGACCTGGGCGCTGTCCCTGAGCTCTTCAGCTCAAGGCTAGTGCTCCACCACTTGAGCCACAGTGCCACTTCCGGTTTTCTGATGAGTCTCATGAACTTTCTTGCCCTCGGTGGCTTTGCACCATGATCCTCAGATCTCAGCCTCCTGGGTAGCTAGGATTATAAGCGTCATTACACATATTTTTGACTTATAAACTGCACAAAATCCCAGGTATCCTCAGGAATTCAGAATTGTCCTCTAAAGTCTTAGAGAGCTTATTGCTATTATATCCATAATTAGTCAAGTATTTGCATTACCAATTTCTACCCTTTTTTAACAACCTTGAAAAGGTAGTTTAGCTTTAGCTTTTTTTCTTCCAACTTTTTTTTTTTTTTTGATCAGTTGTGGGACTTGAACTCTGGGCCTGGGCTCTGTCCCTGAGCTCTTCAGATCAAAGCAAGCGCTCTACGACTCGAGCCACTTCCAGTTTTCTAGTTGTTTATTGGAGATAAAGAGTCTCACAGACTTTTCTGCCTGGACTGGCTTTGAACCATGATCCTCAGAGCTCAGCCTTCTGCGTAGCTAGGATTACAGGTGTGAGCCACTGGCTCCCAGCTCTGATATGAGGTTCTTAACGACTGCTTTTGCAATTCATTCCACATATCATCATCTTTAAACTATTACTATATATTAAAAAAATCAGCCAAATGTGAAAAGTAAATCTGTCAAGAAAATAGCTAAATTAATCCCCAAAATTTGTGCTCCTAGCTGACACCTTATTTATACACTTTTTCCTCTCATGTCTTACCATTCACAATACAGACAATGCACACAGCCTGGAGTGAAGTGTACATGGTAGGTATACTCTGCCCTTCTATACAATCAGTGTAAGAAAACAGCCTATGGTAAACATCAAGAGGCCTTATACCCCATCTTGTTTCTAAAAAAGCAGAAACAATGTGCTTTTTTTTTTTTTTTTTGTCGGTCGTGGGGCTTGAACTCTGGGCCTGGGCGCTGTCCCTCAGCTCTTCAGCTCAAGGCGAGCGCTCTACCACTTGAGCTACAGCACCACTTCCGGTTTTCTGGTGGTTTATTGGAGATAGGAGTCTCACGGTCTCTCCTGCCCGGGCTGGCTTTGAACCGCGATTCTCAGATCTCAGCCTCCTGAGTAGCTAGGATTACAGGCGTGAGCCACCAGCGCCCGGCTACAATGTGCTCTTTAGTCACAATCAAACATAGGTTTCATACAAAAGTCACAAATAGGATTGGGCATGGTAGTTCATACCTATAATCCCAGCACCTGACTGGCTAAGGCAGGAGGATCATGACTTCAAGGCCAGTGTCTTAAAAATAAACCCTCTGATAAGATTAAAGCTCTGTTATAATCAGACATGGAATTTTACTCATCTATTAGGAAGAAAACTATGTCATGTGCAGGGGAATGAACATTGAAGAAAATGTTAACTGAAGTCAGGCTCCTAAAGACAAATGGTTCGTGTGTTTTCTCATGTGGAAGCTAGATCTAAAATACAAACATACATTATAATAGTGGGCTCTATGCATATACACACACTGCTGAGGATGATATTCTTAGAAGAGGAATCCAAAAGTGTATATACTTCCTCTGAACTATATAATGAACTGTTCATCAAAATGAATACCAGGAGCTGGGCACTGATGGCTCACACCTGTAATCCTAGCTATTCAGATCTGAGGATCAAAGCTTGAAGTCAGCTTGGGCAGGAAAGTAGGTGAGACTCTTTATCTCCAATTAACTACCCAAAGAGCTTAAAGTGGAGCTGTGGCCAAGTGGTAGAGTGCTATCCTTAAGCCCAGTGACCAAGGCCTTAAATTCAAGCCCCAGAAAGTATGCATGCGCGCACGCGCATGCACACGCGCGCGCGCACACACACACACACACGTAACTCTAAGTGAAAATGTGGGATTTTTTTTGGGGGGGAGGGACAATGGGCACATGAATGGAGGAAGAGTGAGTAAAATGCAGTCATTGTATTCAACGTACATTCTGTAAAAAATGAACTACATAACTTAAGGGTAGGGCTAAGAGAGGGAATGAGGGAGAACAATGGAAGGGGTGACAGTGATCAAAATGTACTGCGTTTATAATCTGACTTATGAAATTGTAACCTCTTTGTACAACTACTTAATAAAATTATGTATCTCTGGAGAGTAGGGCATCAGTGGCTCATGCCAGTGATCTTAGCTACTTAGTTAGGAAGCTGAGACTGGAGGACTGAAGTTCAGAGACATTCAAAACAAGAAAGTCCATGATACTCTTATCTCCATTTAGTGCCCAAAAAAGCCAGTAGGAAGAATGACTGGCCCTGACTGAGCACAAGCCCCAGAACCAGTAGCCCGCCCCCCAAAAAAAGTCAGGAGAGGACTCAAAGATACAGGGTAAAATATTTAAATGCTCAAATATTAAACTGTTTTAAATGTTTAACAAGATACCATCCATGCTGGGCACCGGTGGCTCATGCCGTAATCTTAGCTAGCGGCTGAGATCTGAGGATCACGGCTCAAAGCTAGCCCGGGAGGAAAGTCCAGGAGACTCTTAGCTCCAATAAACCACTAGAAAACCGGAAGTGGCACTGTGACTCAAGTAGTAGAGCGCTCACCTTAAGCTGAAGAGGGCAGGGACAGCGCCCAAGCCCAGAGTTCAAGCCCCCTGACCAACAACAACAACAAAAAGATACTATCCTGCTATTTTGGGAATACCTTAGTTTACCTTCTGAAAAGCAAAATACAAATTTCAGTTATCAAATACATAAAATTCTGTAAGGAATAACATGTTGCCATTCTATCTTGACAAAAGTTCTCACAAATATACAGGGCTTATTTCATTTTAAAAATTATTGACAGGAACTGAAAAAAAATGACAGGGCTCATACAATTCAAACATCTCAAGAATATAAGATGCAAAACATTATCAAATATACATTGTAAAGAGCTAACAAACTCTAATATCAAACTAGTAAGTATGGGGGGGCAGGGGGAGGCTGGGAAGGGATGGGAAGGGGAAACAAAGGAGGAGGCTACAATGCTTGATAAGAAATGTACTCATTATCTTGCCCATGTAATTGTAACCCCTCTGTACAGTATTTTCACAATAAAAAATAAATTAAAAAAAAAACAAAAAACTACTAAGTATGACAAGCACCAATGGTTCAAACTATAATCCAAGCTACTCAAAAGGCTGAGATCTAAGAATAGTGGTTAGTTAGAAGCCAGCCTAGGCAGAAAGTCTGTGAGACTTATATCTCTACTAAAAAGCTGGAAATGGAGATGTGGCTCAAATGGCACAAAGCCAGAAGTGGTGCTGTGGGTTAAATGGTAGAGTGCTAGCCTTGAGCAAAAAGTAGCCCAGAGACAGCGCCCAGGCCCTAAGTTCAAGCCCCAGAACTGGCAAAAAAACAAAAACAAAAAACACAACTACCACCACCACAAACAGCAACAACAACAACAAAAACCCATGTTTCTATATCCTGGAATTTGTATTTTAAATGATCAGAGTCATTATGCCTGGCTAATTGGAGGTAAGACATTTCTGCCCAGGTTGACGTCCAACCTTGATCCTCTATCTCGGCCTCTTGAGTAGCTAGTATTACTGATATGAGCCATTGATGTATGGCTTACTGTGATGTTTCAAACTGAAATCATGTGCTGGGAAGGTGGCTCAGTAGTAGAGTGCTTGCCTTGCATGCATGAGGCCCTGGGTTTGATTCCTCAGCACCACATAAGCAGAAAAAGCTGGAAGTGGCGCTGTGGCTCAAGTGGTAAGCACTAACCTTGAGCTGAAGAGCTGAGGGACAGCACCCAGGCCCAGAGTTCAGGCCCCATGACCGGCAAAAAAAGAAAAAAAATCATATTAAGTGAAGTAAGCCAGACCCAAAGACCCATGTTTTCCCTCATTTGCAATAACTAGTATACATCCAAGATAATTTTATCAGATGAGCAGAAAAAGCTCAAAAGCTATGTACATACGACCATATAAGAAGATGCTAAGTGAAAGAACCCCAAGATATGGACACAAGAGGCCTTTCCTTGTTGTTGTTGTTTTAAATGTACTATGTGACTTTTTGTTTCCTTTGTATGTTCTTCCCCCTATGGTATATCCCCTGCTGTCACTGTACTTGATTTTGGTACTCTGCATCTTGTATATATTTGTCTATTTGTGGAGGGGAAGGAGAATAACAAAACTCTGAAATAAGGACACAGGATGACCCATTGCAACAATGATACCCACAAGACAGTATACTAGAATTCAACTTTACAACTTTGTGGGGGTGAGGGGAGAGTAAGGGAGGTGGGGGAGGGAAGGGATAGTGGGAGAACAACAAGGGAAGGGGTAACAATGCCCGACAAGAAATGTCCTCATTCCCTTACTCATGTAACTGTAACCCCTCTGTACAGCATCTTTACAATAAATTTAAAAAAAAGTCTCGCAGACTTTCCTGTCCAGGCTGGCTTTGACCCATGATCCTCAGATCTCGGCCTCCTAAGTAGGTAGGATTACAGGCATGAGCTTCCAGTGCCCTGCTTACTGTAACACTTATAGTCATAAATATACCTAATTAACTGTGACATTAGGCTATGTTTTAAGTCTAGTTCTCAAATAACAAACTGACTACTAACTAGTAAAACTGATTTTATAAGTAACAGATGAAAAGTGGTTTCCTTATTTTAGCCTTGGTTTCTTTTTCTTTCTAATAATATAAATTTTCCAGCGGGTACTGGTAACTCAAGCCTACAATCCTAGGAGGCTGAGATCTGAGGATCACCATTCAAAACCAACCGCCCCCACACACACACACACACACACACAAAGAAGGAAAATCTAATTAATCACCAATTAATCATCAGAAAACCAGAAGTGGCACTATGGCTCTAAGTGACAGAGTGCTAGCCTTGAGCAAAAGAGCTCAGTTCAAGCCCCACAAATGACCTCCCCACAGGCTCCACCCCGCCCCACTGCAAAAAAAGCATACAAGTCACATATATTTTCTAGTTCTATTTAAAAGACAATTTCAAATTCTAAATTCAATTAAGCAAACAGAATATCATATATTTCTGTCGATTAAGACTTACTGTAAGGGCTGGGAATGTGGCTTAGTGGTAGAGTGCTTGCCTTGTATGCATGAGGCCCGGGTTGGATTCCTCAGCACCACATAAGCAGAAAGAGCTGGAAGTGGTGCTGTGGCTCAAGTGATAGAGTGTTAGCCTTGAGCTAAAGAGCTGAGGGACAGCACCCAGGCCCAGAGTTCAGGCCCCACAACTGACAAAAAAAAAAGGGGGGGGGGGGACTGGAATGTATGCAGCTCTGAGCAAAGAAAGCTGACCAAGAGCTTAGGGCCCTGTGTTTAAGCACCAGTAAGGTCACAAGACCAAAACAAACAACACACACACACACACACACACACACACACACACACTGTAGCTGTTTTTGTTTAGGCGCTAGGAATCCCCCCCCCCCCCCACAGACACACACACTGTAGCTGTTTTTGTTTAGGCGCTAGGAATCCCACAAACACTACCACTGAGCTGCATCCCCAGCTTAGACATGGCATTTCATTAGTCATTCTTTCAGTTACAAGGAGCAAAAGGAGCAAAAGGAGTAAGCTCTCCTAGATAGGGGCACTCCCTTTTACCTTATCTGAAGGGAACACTGTGGGATACTGGATGATGGAGAGTCCTAGAGTTTCTTCCCTGAGTTCTCATGAGAATATAAAATTTTAGTCTACAGTTTCAAAACAAAAAACAGTGAATGTACAAAACTAAATTATGTGCCAAGTTCTACTGTGTCTGATTCACTGACACAGTTATGGTAAAGTTAGGTCATGCTTGCTGTTTTTCCATTCAGAGTATACATATCAAAGTTGTAAGCTACTATATATTTTCAGC